CATGACTAACATTACCGAAAAAATCTAGACAGGAATTTGCTCCACGAAACAAACCTGATCGGTCTCAACGTCGAAGAACTGTTGATAGAATTCCATTGAGAAGAAGTTCGATTTCCGTCCAGAGGCTGATATACTGTCACTTGTGTCGGTTACGAGCTGAAAGCATACACGGTCGTATGGTCATTCAGCTTTCGTTGGACGTATCCATGCTATTTTTAAAAGGAACCGCTAAGGTTGTACTTCAAAAGCACTATAGCTTTCATTCATTCACTGTAGAACTGAACAAAACGCTAATTGTAACGGTGGATAGAGCTCCAAGCCAGCTTCATGAGCTCCATCGATTCATCCACATCCTTTCCCCACCGAAATAGCCAATGAACTTACAAAAAAAGAAGATATACGCTACAGAGTCAATCAAATTGGTAATAAAAAATACACAAAAGTAGCGAAAAAAGACTAACCAGTAAAAGCATTGAACTCCCTGTGGAACTTTGAATCGAGACCTAGATATATCGATAGAGCCTACACACTAGTTAAAAATATGCAAACCAAAATTGCAAAACGAATCTGCCGAGGAAGTTATGAGCAGTCAAAAATGGCTGCAAGTGAGCATAGTTTTTGACTTTTCCGAGTGAGCACATTGTCAGAACATAGAGACCGTGTGACGCGACAGAAAGGGTTGTCGCTATGTTATTGATGAATGGCAGAGGTAGGAAGTGGCAGACGTATGAGCTGAGCTCTGTTCTAGAATACAACCCTCTGCTGGGTACAAAACATGATTTGCAAAAACTTGCACCAAATTGGGATTCGATACCATGACCTGCTTGATGACGAGCGAGAGCCTTACCACTACACCACGGCAACACAGTTCTCCAGCGCTAGCTGGCCTCATCCACAAGCGCTCGTTTGCAGCCATTTTTCCATCGTAACTTCTTTACGCATTCGGTTTACGTAGCTTGTCGCAGGCTCTATCGATATATCTAGGTCTCGATTCGAAGTTCCACGGGGAGCTCAATCAGGGTCAACCCTACGTTGCTACAAGTACCAACGGGGGGTCGTAGTTTGTTGAAGTTTGTGGTGGGGGGGGTCGTACTTGTTTCGGTTGCACGAAATTATGTGTGAGTGAGAGCGCGCGGGAGAAAATTTGCCGTTTCAGCGTGCGTATATACCCCTCCCCTAGAAAAGGGAGCAGTGGAAATATAGGTGAAAAAGAGGGAAAATGAAGGGAAATATAGGGAAATTTTGCGGTTTCATTGTTTTTTGAGGGAAAAGTGGTTGTGAAGAGGGGGTCGTATGAAATCTGTCGTGAAGGAGGGGGGTCGTAAAAATTTTGCAAAAAGTACCAACGATAGGACCGACCCTAAGCTCAATGCCTTCCCTATTTCCCTGGCAAATATACCCTGACCCGTACAGTGGTCGCAAGCATTCCATGCAACACGGAAAATGTTGTGCATGGATGGAAGCTGTGATGTAATTCATATGATGCCTTTATTTCATTGGTGATGCCGTTTCGGCAAAATAAGTAAAGCGAGAGCCGGTTCGCGCACAAAGTAAAGGACGCTAATCTCAACTCTTCAATTTGACCAGAACGACTCCACAGAGAGGGGAATGCTCCGATAGCGGAGGAAAGTCATGGAGCAATGGCTGGGCGTGAAGGTCCATCCAAAGCTGAGGGAGAAGAAGGATGAGCGCGTAGAACTCGGGCTGAGTATACACGTTTTCAATCTTAGAGAGCATGGATGCGCGTGCATGACGGGGTGTGAAGGGGCGATATCCGAAAAATAAGACAAAAAGAACGCGAGGTTGCAGGAGGAGCTTAGAGATTTAGGGGAGGAGAGGTTAGAGATGAGATGTATGAGCGACGGTGTGGGTGAGCAAGAAGAGACAAAAGACTTCTAGCAGACGTAAAGCAAATTACCAATAGAACAATTACTGTATTGAAGATGAATTTAATCACCAAGACGGACTAGAACTGAACAAAGAGAGGACGGATGAGGGGATCCAAAAATACTCGCGGGCACGAGCGAAAAGCGGAGTGGTGGAGTTTGAGCGAGGTGTTAGTGAGGCTGAAGTGAGATGGTGAGCCTGGTATGCTAGCATTCAGTAATATGGGCATAGCGTATTATGGTGGCGGTGTCGTGCGCCGGCCAGAGGCGAGCGGTTGTGTATTCTGCACTAGGATGGAGGAGTTAATTATATCCATCAGGTAACTTGGAATGGCGTTTACGGCTTGGAGTAAACGAAGCGTGCGCTAAAGCGAGTGGGATACCTTGAAGTATCTTGTTATGGCAAAAATTCCATTTTTCAAGGGAAAAAAAACTAAGGGACCCAAGACGGGAAGACGAGATTTCGGCGAGTAGATGTAAAAACACGATAATGTAAAAAGTCCGGAGCGGGAACCCGGGGATGTCTTGATCGGTCCGAATGAGCTTCCAGTAGAATCCCGTGTGTATTCGATGGGAATTGATAGAGAAGCCATGTTTGGAATCGCTGGAAGGCGAGAGATATAAGTAAATTGTCAAGATAGGAAGAAGTTGCAGAAGGTCCAGAGGCTGCAGACTCCAGGGCGAAGAAGCGGGCTTGAGGCTATAAGAGACAACTTCACGGATGGAATCCGAGATTGGGGCCGATTGGAGTTCGTCGACAGCTCTAAAGCGGAAAGCGGACAGTTTCGTAGCAGCCAACCAGCTAGAATAACAACAGATAATGAATAATCTTCAGATAACAAGGCTTAAGCAATTTGAAAAACAGTGGCAGGCTGGGAGTTAATCCATCACGCGTAGTCTGTGTGCAGAGAGGTTTGTTAACACAACAAAATTATCACGAAGAACAAAAAACCATAATGAAAAATGATTCTTCAAGACGAAGCAGTGTCAGCAACTTGAACGAACATAGCAACATTTCAGAAACAATCCACCGAGGCATTACAGATAACAAACAGAACAAACATTTCTCAAAGCGAACCAAAGTTTTTGCATTTGAAAACTTCCTGGGCATGATTTGGAGAAGGTTACCTGCGACGATCTCGAGATCTACTCCTGAAAGTGATAAAATTGTATTATGAGGGAAATTGAACTTTGGACTAAACTAACTGAACTAGGAAAAACTAAATCACATTTTTTTATTAATTCATTTTATTTTTTTCATTTTACGACTATTTACGGCCTAATTCGCATAATAAAAGCCATACGATGTGAGCGAGCAATTTAACAAAAGATATGATAAATATATGAAATTTATAGAAAACAATTTTAAATCTGACTCAGTGATCCCATTCCTTTGGGAAAAAAGGCAACCAAAACCACCAGACAGCTGAAGCGACTTTAGAATACTCCGCAAATGTTCGCCAAGCAGTGACCTTATACTCTTCCTGATTGCAACAATGACAAATTCTGGAAGAGTATTGATAAAAAATTGAAATACAGAAGAGAGTATCCTACAGAAAATGCTTACGGCAAGCCTCATCGGCAGATTCGCTTGCGGTTGAGTTCGCGCCAGCGATTGCAGGGATCAAGTAGGAGGAATACATTCTTAAGCCTCATACGCGTTAGTTCGTCTCATCACTACACTCCCCCCTTCTTGTGGCTTATCTGCCTAGGGATGGTTTTTTCAGCAAACACGTGGTGCTGACGGCAACTAGAAACGGCGTGTGTGCGCCAAACGTTGCCTTTAGATCCATACCAGCGGGCTGCTCACGCTGATATCCTCATCATACGATACTCCAGCAATACAGGGGAAGAGGCAATAAGAAAAGTCACTCTTCCCCCACATGAATGAAACTAATCACACTTTGCTGACATCAAAACGAATAGTTCCAATTGAAAATTGAAGAGCACACTCAAAACTAAACTTCGAAGCACCTTTCTGCATGGACGATATCAAATGAATTTTCCACAGAAGCATAATTGTTCGAGCTCCACGAGGTCCTAGACCGATTGTGGTCCACTACAAAGTTATCTGAGAAATTACGCGAAAAGAGCCCTGCACTTTCAGGGCAGCTCCCTCTAGCATGTGAGGTGCTCAAAATGAGTCTGTCAGGAACGTCCTTTCGAATTAACAGAAGTACAGAACGAAAGTGGAGGCCACGGCAGCCCTAGTAGCAGCAAGTTTGCTTTTTCGATGCGGTGCTGTTCTTCTGTGGATCTGTTCTGGACCCAAAAACTGCGTCTGGCCGGAAATACTTTGTGGTGCTCATTTTCTTTCTTCAAAGTAAAGCCAGGAGCTAAAAATTGTGTCTGGCTAAATTGTTTTTCAATTATCGCTCATTATATAACATCACCATTTGAATTCTCTTCCTTGTCTGGCTTTCAATCGCTTTTCTGGTCACAGCCAGTTTGATCCCTGATGCGATTCAGAAATTTAGCACCGCTCGTTTCAATGGAGCAATAGTATTTGATCTGCTCTGGATTCGCCCAACTGCTGGGTTCCTTTGCCAACTTTGTCATATTCGGCATGTGCACGCATCAGCCAAATAGCATGTAACCTTCCCGCGGAGACGGAGACTTTATCTTTCAAGTGAGTCCTCGAATCTGAAGGATGTGAAGCACACGGCGCATCCCAGAGTGGGCCCAGTTGTTGCGCGCGCTTCAACTACGGCTCTCTGGAGAAAAATCTCAATTCAGGAAAAATCAAGAGGATTCTGAAAGGGTTCATGTGAAATTACAGGGAGGAGTACACTATTCAACAAGAAACGCAGCCTTCAGCGTCAAATTCACAAGCATGTAACCTTAAAGTTGAGACCGCTAAACAATTTTACACTTTTTGGAAAGAGAAAAGCACGAGGATTTCGAATCTGCTCCTACTTTAGTATGTAATCGCCAAGGAGCTATAGTCGTTGAAATAGTGCCAATGTAGCGAAAAAGTACCTTTCGGCGGTACTCGGGCAAAAATCCTCAACGTGGCCATTTTTTAAATAGTGGACGTATTTAGCAGTTAGTTGCCTTGATAGAGCAAATCTTCTAGTTTATGATGACGTATTAACTTTTCAGATTGGATGAGTTTGAACGGAGTTATGGCTTTGGAAAGCGTAAAAACTCGCACTCATCACGAATTTTCCTCGTTAATTTTGCAAAAATCCTCAACGTGGCCATTTTTTA